GGCATTAATAGTTGATTATAGCTTTTCAGTGTATAGACGACTCGTAACGGACAGCTGCGAAAGGACTTTCTTAACGGCATGCATGGAGGGAAAACTGAAAAACTTGACGATATTTATAGCAGGTACTGCGAAAGAGACGGGGGGGTTATGAGAAAGTTATGTTAAAATAATGTCGAACTATTGAAGAACGATGATTTAAAAATAAAAAATTATATAATGTTTAAGATAGCTTACTAAGTGCAAAATTCTTGAGTCTCCTTCTCATTAACATACAATTTAAATATCTTTGAACCGCAGATTTATTAGAAATTCATGGAAAAATGGGCAAAGTCCGAAGCTACTTATGAAAATTATACAGATGAACGAATTTTTATTCTAAATTTTAATTTTAGCTTTATTGTATTTCTATGATTGTGGGTTCCTCCAAGTCCAGATGAATTTTGATTGATTTACATTCTATATTAGTAAATTTGTTTACACTAGTTAATTGACTAACTTCTAATGTTAAAATGAAGATCGAATCATTTCATTCGAGATGATGGCACGAATTTTAATAGGAAATCACGAAGCCGGTATTTAAAAAATTATTATGCGCAAATCGAGCAGGATGAACTATCGTTGCAGACGATTGTTTCTTAATTGGCTAATAATTATTCCAATTATGCAATAATAGTTTCAAAATCGCTATTGACAGACAAAGCGAAGAAGAAATAATCAGATTGCTCTTTGATTTGATTTTTTTTCTTTAGTACCTGCCGGCATTAGAATTTTAGAAATTATACTTCTTCAGAGTGAATCACCGGAACTTTTAGTAACTAAACAGATGTGTCACTAGAGTGTAACAGGATCGGGAAAGAAAAACTGACAAATATAGAAGGCAGAAGGTCTTCATTGATCATTACAGGTGGCCACTTAGAGTATCTACTTTTTATCAGGCTTCGTCTTTAGAGTCACCGAGTGAAATTTAAGCCTCGTCGTTAAAACGTTCATCGATCCAGCCGGTAATCGATGACTGAAGAACTTGCTCTTTTTACTTCCTCGTTTTCATTTTTTTTTTTTTCCTCCTCCACATTTACGCGTAAAAATTGTCTGGCGCGTGAAAACGTTAAAATCCGGGAAATAGGAAAATTGCTACGTAGGAACGTCTAATGGACTGCCGTTGGCTAGCTTTCGTTGCAGGAAGCGATCGATTATAAACTCGGAATAGTTGATGGAAACAGTGCCATATATTGTTTTTCTTCTGTCAAAGTTGAAACTAATTATTAATGTAAAAGCCACGAAGCAGTGCAATTAGCAAATTAATTGCGGCTGATCAAACTAGTTAATATCATTAGAGTGGAGATTTTTATGCGAATTTATATTATATATATAATTTATATATAATAATAAATTTTATTTTTCACATATATATATATATATATATATATACACACACACAATGAAATGAAAAATAATATACATACAATAATAATAATTATTTTAATAATAATAATAATTATTATAATAATATTTAATAATAATTATTTAATAATTATTATTAAATAATACATTATAAAATACATTATAAAATAATACATTTCATTGTGTATATATATATTGTATATATATATA